GCCTTATATAGGCTAAATTAATGGTTTAATTAAATGGTTGATCAAATTACTCAATTAGACATAAATTATTCTAATTAAATCGTTCCGAATCGACTTTCAATTAAACCTACCATAAAATTCTAAAAATTCTAACTAACATATAATTCAAGGCAATTTCGCGATCGGATGCAAATAAGGCCTTCAATTCACAGAACAGAACAGAACTACAAACACATATTGCTACGATGGATAGATAAAAACACAAATAATGCCATACACACATGCAAATAAATTCAAAATTTTATCTCAATTCTTCTTAGGCATATTTAATCATGGATTAAAGGCTAATCACAGGTCAGGGTTGTTACAGTCTTTCCCCCTTAAAGAGTTTGGTCCTCCAAACTCGAGTTACCTTCATTTTGGAATAATACTGAATCCAAAGGAAACAATCCAGGGTATCTCCTCATCATATCTTCCTTCGTTTCCCAAGTTGCATATGTCCCTCCGTGGTTTCGCCAATTAACCTTTACCAACGGTATATCTTTGTTTCTCAATCTTTTGATTCGGCTATTCACAATTTGAATTGGCCTCTCCTCATAAGTATAGTCATCTTTCAAAAGCATATGTGTTGGTTTAATGACATGTGACGGATCTCGTAGATAGTTCCGAAGCATGGAGACATGGAAAACATTATATATATGTTCTATGACCGGCGGTAAGGCTACCCGATACGTCACTGGGTTGATCTTCTCAAGGATTTCGTATGGTCCTACATATCTTGGTGCTAATTTTTCTTTCACTCCGAACTGCGTTTGACCTTTCATCAGAGTTACTTTGATAAACACGTGATCCCTGACTTCATATTCCTTATCTTTTCTTCGGAAATTCGCATAACTCTTTTGGCGACTTTGTGCAGTTTTCAATCTTTGTTGAATCAATTTCACAATTTTCGTTGTTTCTTGCACAAGTTCTGATCCAAACAAAAGTCTGTCTCCTACCTTGGCCCAACAGATCAGAGAATGGCATTTCCTACCATACAAAGCTTCATAAGGAGCCATTTCAATGCTTGAGTGATAGCTGTTATTATATACAAATTCAGCCAATGGTAGGTAGGTCCCAATTGCCTTGGAAATCTAGAACACACATTCTAAACATATCTTTCGAAGTCTGTATCGTTCTCTCTGATTGGCCATCCGTCTATGAGTGACAAGCACTACTTAGTCTTAGTTCAGTTCCCAAAGCTTGTTGTAGACTCTACCAGAATCTTAAAGTGAACTTAGGATCTCTGTCAGACACAATAGATACTAGCATGCCGTACAATCTCACAATCTCATTCACGTAGATGTTAGCCAATTTATCCGCATTATAAAGAGTTTTAATAGGTAGAAAGTGAGCAGACTTAGTTGAACGATCAAGAATGACCCAAATAGAATCCATACCTCAAGAGGAGCGAGGCAATCCAACAATGAAGTCCATCGTGATATGCTCCCATTTCCATTCCGATATCGGAAGCGACTGTAGCAATCCAGTTGGTCGTTGATGTTCAGCTTTAACTTGTTGGCAGTGCAAACATCTAGCCACAAAGTCAACAATACTTTTCTTCATTCCAGGCCACCAGAAGTTTTGTTTCAAGTCATGATACATTTTTGTATTTCCCGGATGCATATCAAATTTCAAATTGTGGGCTTTAGTCATAACACGTTTCCTCAACTCACAACAATCTGGTACACAAAGTCTATTCTGAAATTTCAGTACTTCATTATCAATCACAAATCCCGGCCTCAGCTTTGAGTCAATTTCATCAAAAAATTTCTTCAAAAACTCATCTTCACGTTGTTTCTCTTTAATTTCTTCAACGAAATGGCAGCCAAGATCCCGCCTTATTTATACAATACAATTTTAATCTCATTCTTTTCCAAGTCACACAATAACTCTCTTCAACCGGTGAGCAAACACGACAAATTCTCAATAGCTTTTCGGCTCAATGCATCTGCAACAGTATTTGCCTTCCCTGGATGATACAGAATTTGTAAATCATAGTCCTTGATTAATTCCAACCATCTTCTCTACCTTATGTTCAGCTCTTTTTGGGTGAAAAAATATTTTAAGCTTTTATGATCTGTATATACCTCACAAGTTACTCCATACAGATAATGTCGCCGGATTTTCAAAGCAAACACCACAGCTACCAATTTAAGATCATGAGTCAGGTAATTCTTTTCATAAGGACGGAGTTGCCTAGAGGCATAAGCAATTACTTTCCCATTCTGCATTAACACACAACCTAAACCTTTGTAGGAAGCATCACTGTAAATCTGAAACCCATCAGTTCCGTTAGGCAAGGTTAGAATTAGCGCAGTTACCAGCCTAGTTTTCAATTCTTAGAAGGTTGACTCCCGTTGATCGTTCCAGTTGAATGGTACATATTTCTATGTCAACTGTGTCAATAGCATAGCACGTTTCAAGAAATCTTTCACAAATCTTCTGTAGTAACCAGCAAGTCCTAGAAAACTTCTGATTTCTGACATATTGGTCGGTTTTGGCCAGTTTACAATAGCCTCAATTTTCTATGGATCCACTGATATGCTATCCTCGTTGATTACATGTCCTAGAAATGTTACACTATCAAGCCAAAATTTACATTTGAAAATTTTGGCATATAACTTCTTTTCTCTCAAAGTCTGTAAAGCAATTCTAAATGATTCTCATGTTCTTCCCTGCTTTTGGAGTAAATCAGAATACCATCAATAAACACGACTATAAACTCATCTAGAAATTTTTTAAAAACCCTATTCATCAGGTCCATAAAGGTTGCGGGTGCATTTGTTACCCCAAATGGCATGACTTAAAATTTATAGTGCCCATATCTAGTTTTGAATGCTTTTTTCTCTACATCTTCTACCTTAACCTTTAACTGGTGATACCCGGATCTAAGATCTATCTTAGAGAACACTTGTGCTCCGTGCAGTTGGTTAAACATGTTGTCTATTCGGGTAAGGGGTATTTGTTCTTCACGGTTACTTTGTTCAACTTACGGTAGTCAATACACAGCCTCAAAGACCCGTCTTTCTTTTTAACAAACAATACTGGAGCACCCCAAGGTGAAGTACTCGGACGGATAAACTTTTTGTCTAACAAGTCTTGTAATTGGGTTTTCAATTCTTTGAGTTCGGAGGTTGACATGTGGTATGGGGTTTTTGAAATTGGTTATATCTCGGGCGCGTTTAAATTCAATCTCTCTATCAATCAAATCCCCGGGTAGTTCATTAGGAAACACATCAGGAAATTCGTTAACCACAGGGATGTTCTCAACATTAGCATTATCAATGGTTGTATTCAAGACACAACATAAATAACCTTGACATCCTTTCCACAACAGTTTACTGGCTTTCATAAAAGAAATTAAGTACGATGGAGGGACTACCCCATTTGCAGCAAATACAAATTCAGGTAACCCCAGAGGTCGGAATACAACAAGTTTATTCACACAATCAATAGTAGGAAAATACTTAGTCAACCAATCCATGTCTAATATGCAATCAAAATGATCAATTCCCAAAGGCAACAAATCAACATACAACGTCATGTCACCAATCATAATATCACATGCTGGATAAACATAAGCACATACCATGGAACCCCCAGATCGTGTAGATACAGATAACAAATAATTCACTAGTTCTACTAGTCTAGTTTATTTTCAAGAAAAGGCATGTGAAACAAATGAGTGGGTAGAACCAGAATCTATCAACACATATGCATTTTGGGCACAGATGGAAATTATACCTGACACCACAACTTTAGTGTTCTGCACATCACCAGGCACTAAGGCAAATACTCGACCCTATCTCAGTGTTTCTTTCCCAGTATTAGCTCTTGTATTTGTTTTAGTTGTAGAAGCAAATCCGGCTGAACTCTGTGTAGGGCGGTTGGCATTATCAAACCCATGCGAGCAATATTTCACTATATGACCTATCTTGCCACATCGGAAACAAGCAGCAGATGCTTGATAACACACGCCCTATGCCTCCTTCCACAATCAGGGAAAACTGGAATAGACTCATTGCTCTAACTTGAGCTACTTGTGGACCCCGTGTTCTGCTTTTTACTTACATAAGAACGACCCTTTCTAAAACCGTACCCAGACCTTTTTCCTCTCCATTCTTCTGTTGTTGGGGCCTTACTTTGTTTCATAGTGGCTAGGGTAGCTTCAGTTATTAAGGATCTGTCAAGGACTTCTACGTATGTTGGCAACTTCAATACGCCTATTTGATCAAATATGTCTAAATCCAATCCTTTTTCAAATTTGCGAGCTTTCTTATAGTCTGTGTCCACCATATGAGGAGCAAATCTGGCTAACTCAATGAATTTAGCCTCGTACTCAGCTACAGACATTCTGTCTTCACTGCAGGAAATAGAATTTTTGCCGACTAAAAATTTGGTCGACAAAAGTCCATTTTTAGTTAGCAAAAGCTATTCGCGACCAAATTTTTTGGTCGTCACTTTGGTCGCCAATTGAGGGTCGGCAAAAGTAATTAGCAACCAAAATTTTTGTTAGCCGGGAAAAAGTTGAATTTGTCGACTAAATTTTTGGTCGCTAAATATATCATTACTGCGGCTAATCTATTTAGTCGCTAAAACACTTTAGTCTCAAAAAGTGACATATTCCCTACCAATCATGTTAGTCGTCAATTGTCACATTCCACAACGAAAATAAATGGTCGCTAATTATCACATTCCACGGCTAAAAAGTTTGGTCGCCAATTATGACATTCCACGACCAAAAGTTTTGGTCGCCAATTATGACATTCCACGACCAAAAATTTTGGTCCCCAATTATGACATTCTACGACCTCTTAGTTTGGTCACCAATTGTCACGTTCCATGACCAAAAAGTTTGATCACCAAAAGGAATGTTTGCACCAACATGCAACAAAATAAACTTGTAATTCATAATAATCTATCCAATCTATTCAATACAATATGTAAGTTACAATAATCAATCAAACTAACAATTCACCTGAACCATGAACATTTAACAAAATATATAAATCATCAAATTCTGAACTTGTTTAATTAAAGTCAGCAACTATAAGTTTTCATCCACAAGTAATTTCAAACTACATATTCCTTCAATTAAAAATCCACTTGTAATCTATATAATCATCCAATTCACATCCATCTAGCATTAAAATTTAAAACTTATTCCTTAAGTGAAGAGTAGAACTCCTTTCGTAGAGCATCAATAGCTTTCATTGATTGAGCAGAAACAAAATTCGTCCAGCAGTATTCATATCCAACGACGTCTCTTTCAGCTTCTTTCCAGCCCTCATAAGAGCAAGGTGATCACTGTAATCATGTGAAAATTGTGCTTTTGCTGCTTCTGCTAGCTGCAAAGAGAAAGACACACAAATCAATTAGTGAAGTATATAAGATAAGATACTCAATTTTCCAGCAAAAGCTATCTATTAGTGAAACCACAATGCCTTGTTACACGTCATGTGCCTAAAATATTAATTCAATAACCACCACTAACCTCTGTTTGGAATTCTTTTGCTTCTTGCTTGGAATCAGTTGCAAGCATTTTAACAACAATTGTCTCACTAGTTAACATCTGATCTTTATAAACTAGACCAAATGCCCCTTGACCAATCAATGTCGTAAAATTACAGGTTGCTTTTGCAAATCCCTAATTTAGTAGCAACAAAAACAAGTTCAGAACTGACAAGGAAAAAAAGAATCTAACAAATAACAGGACCACCAAAAAAAATAAAACTACAAAATATATAGATATATATATATATATATATATATGTAGATGTATAAACTACTTTGTGCAGGCAAATAGTTATTTTTATTGATCATTTTGGACCAAAATAAACATTTTGAGTGAAGATAAGCGTGCCTTTTGTTGAAGATTTAACAATGAATGAAGGTTAAGAAGTAGAAAGAAACCAAGAAAACTTATCAACCATCAAACTAAAGCATCCACTGCCCATCTAAAAAAAAAAACTAAAGCCTCCGTATTGCATACTTGCAATAAAGAATGTTGGTGTTAGCCATCTCACACAATAATTTAAAAACAAGAAAAGATAAATACATTATACGATATCCATAACATATCATAACAATGTTTTAAGCATTATTGACATTAAAATCTGAGGCCGCATGCCTAATTTTTCCCCTAGATGCTTACGGACCAATTTTGTCATACAAATCAACTAGTAGTAGAGATGATGGATTAAGGTGTCACTCCAAGCAAATTATCTAACCATCCTCTAGTATGAGGAGACTTATCTAGATATCAGGGTTGTTTGGAGACTCTTTCCATAAACATGCACTCATGTTTTTATGAGAGTAAATCATCAAGCAAGAAAAATGGATGGTTACTAAATGATTTGTTAGTGTGAAAATGGCTCATAAGTATCTAAAGAAAAATTACATATAATTTTTAAAATAAGAATGAACATTTGACTAGGCCAATGACCAACCCCAAGAACTTTTGTTTTTGTGTTTGATTCTAGCTAAACTAGTTGACAACCCTCTATATCTCCATGTACCAATTAGCATTCCACCCACCCAAAAGCACCAAGAACAACACTTCAACATTTACTAGCACACAAAATAACTTCTTTTTTTCTTTATTGACTAAGGGATGAATTTGCATCATTGTCAACACCTCACATCCCAACCATGTTGGCACCCAAGCCTAAGACCAATCATGTGCATTCCCAAAGCAACAACAGATTGGAGAGGTTCCAATACAAAGATACAGTAACCACATAGGATCTACCTAAGACCAATAGCAACTCACCAAAACAGAGTACTATTCAGCCACCATTTGCAATTCAAAATTGAACTTGTTGAATAATGAAGATGAGATCATTTACAAAGAAAGCTAGAGGGGTTGGGAAAGACTTAACCCACATGGCAATTCTCACTTTAACTAATTCACATAAATAACTTATTTGAGGCCTCGTTTGGGAACAGGCTAATTTAGTAACTTTTTGGCTATTTGGCTAAAAAGTTAGCTAAAAAAAACTTGTATGTTTGGGATGACTTTTTGGCTAATTACAAAAAGCTAACATTCACAATCTCTAATTGCTCTATAACTATCTCAGTTTTTTATTTTAAATTTCAAATTTTTATAACTTCTTTAATTTTTCTCTTCATTAACATTTTTTTTTGTTGTCATTCAATAAAAAATCAACTGATGAATTTTCATGACACACTCATCAAGTGCTATAATTAATATAATCAATTGAATTGTATCATATTGTCTCCTCTCAACATATCCCTATAGAATATAAAACTCATTAATAGTAAGAATACCATTAATTCAGTAAAAAAATAGCCCACCAATAATACATAGAACTATTTTAGATTATACACTCAAAGTTTATAATTACTCAAATTTTAAGAAACTTAGGTAAATACCTCATCAATTCGGAAAATGGTTGCAATGCGTGCAATTTGACCAGCCAACTAAAAAGAAACAAATGAAAATGAATTCAATATAAACACATATACATATTACTTCTCTAAGTCACATACTAGAATTATAAAAGCAAAAGAGAAGAGTTCCTAACAATACACAACAAAACAAATAGACTAATATTTCAAGAAGAAGTGCTAATTCAATAGCAATTTTCAAACCATCTAGCAACAAGAAAATTCAGAATTAAAAAATTTCCCAAAATCGCAAGAGTCCGACCGTCTCTTAAACATAAATCCTCTGTGAAAAAAATTTCCCAAATCAACTTAAAACTAGCAAAAATTGCTAGAATACACCTAAAATCACTCAAATGGAGAGAAAAAGTAAGAGAGAGAGAGAGAGAGTACTATACCAGTTTTTTTACATCCTTCATTTGCTGTCTAGTTCAATTTATTTGAATATCAAATGAAACATACACACATGGGAAATTAAGTCAGACACGACTTCAATGAATATGTTATATGAAATGCTAATTGAGTCGCTACAATTTTGCTTACACTACAAATCCCTTTGATGTTTGCATTTAGTATAGATTCTCTCCTTACATTCTGAAAGTTACATTCCCCATCTTGAGGTATATTAACATTAGAAATTGACCATTTCGTTAATTAACAGTTAGATTAGTTAACAACTTTGCTGATGTCATCTATTGATTTTTTTTAAAATGCCAATTTTACCCTCAAATGTAATCTCCATCCAGCAGAAATGTATATTCTCCCTTAATATATTTATTTCCATATCATGGTTTCTACCACCAGGAACTTTCCTAGCAAACAAGAACAATAATGTTTAGCCAAAAAAAAAAAAGCAGAAGAAAGTTGACACTTGTCATCAAACATTTTGTGGGTACCCATTGCCTCATCAACTGGAGAAGTTATTACACAATTTTGGAACCAACACATTTCATCAAACATTTGGTAGGCAACCCCATCTCCCCACACTGTGTTGTCAATACCCATTCAGTTAAAGAAAAAAGAGAGATATGCAGCTATTCAAAGCCCTCACCTCACTCCTCCTAATTGGCCCTCTTCCACCGTCACCTCACCATCACGTACACCCCCAACTCTTCATTTTCTTTCATCTTAACTCTATATTTCCACCACCACCGAACCCAACATGACCACCATCTATGGTTTGTCAGCAATCAACACAGCAATCACAACAATCATATGGCCATTGACAGTGTCAAAGAACCCTATCCAGTACCATAGTATTTGCCTCAACTCTCTTCCACTCGCATTCTTTGTTATTTACAAATACACTTGACCCCAGAAATTCTAAGGTGCATAAATAGTGTTTCCCTATATACACACACACACACAGATGTACATATAAAAGGTGAATTGTTGTTGACATACCTTAGAAGGAGTGGTTGAAGAAAGGGGTTGGGTGGCAGAAGCAGAGATCCCTAGGTTTGGAGGAGGATTTGTGTGTGAAATTGACGAGACTTGCGAGACAGAAAGCACAAATACATAAAATTAAACAACCATGTGCCAATGTAGATTCATTTTTCAATTTAGAACTAGACAATAATCTAATCGGATTGAAAAAGCAAACATTTTAGTAGAAAGAAAGAAAGGAATAAAGGAATAAAAGAAAGAGAGACAGACAATGAGTTTAGGAGAGGCAAAGGGATCATCGTCAAGAGGGTTTTGTCTACGTGAGAAAGACCCGCATGTTTGTACAATTTTTCTTGCTGATCTTTTCAGTTTCGACAAAGCTCCTCCTCCCCTTAGATATTAGGGGAAGAGAGGCAGAGAGAGAGATAGAGAGAAGGTAAAATAAAGAGGACATACCTGGGGGTAATGCTTCAATAGTAGATCGACAGTGGTGCTCGATAGCGGTGATGCTCGATAGCAGTGATGCTCCTTACCCGACGATGATAGAAACAAAGCGACAGAGATTCAATATTAGAAGGAGGGCAATTGGCATAAGAGTAGGGATGGCAATTTGAACCCGGCCCGACGGGGACCCGACCCCCCGACCCCGATCAGAATGGTTTTTCTTCGAAAAATACCCCCGTGGGGACGGGGATGGTATTTAAAATTAAATCCCCGATTAGTTTCGGGTCGGGATGGTGATTAGTGTTCAAGTCCTAGCTCATCCCCGTCCCCGGCCCCGACCCCAAATTTTTCCGAAGTAAAATTACCATTTTACCCCTCTATATATATATATATATATAAACCAACCCTTTCACTCACACAACAGCACCTCATTAACAAGATGATCGAGCATTAGCAATTAATCGATTGATCAAGTACAAAGATAAAATTCAAACCGTCAAATGATCATAGAGAACAATACCTTTGTGGATAGAGAGAGAGAGAGAGAGAGAGAGAGAGAGAGAGAGATTGGGGGAGGGTTGTGGCTTCGAACGGATTCAAACGCAATCTAGAAGTCGCTCCGTTAATGAGTCCCAGAACACTTGCGGGCTCGGAGCTTTCCGGGATCTACGCACCAGAACCATGGGCGTAATGGAGTTCGAACAAAGGACCCGATCCCGAGGACGGTGAGTGGAGATAAATTCACTCTTCGGTTAAACTAGCCTATACCCGGGTCGAGGTGGCACGACCCCGGGGGGTCTATGAGACTCGGCAATATTTTGCGGCAGGACGTCCTCTAGGACTACCCCTGGCCCTTTGGGATGATTGGGGATCATTGGTTAGGTGTGGCTAAGAAGAAGGGTTCGCCGAGGGATTGATCTCCTCTTCGGGGTTTTCTCATCCTCGGAGAAGTCACCTCTTCGGAGAGGTCACCTCCTCGGAGAAGTCACCTCCTCGGAGAGGTCACCCCCTCGGACAAGGTGGTTAGAGAAAATATCCCCCATGTGCCTTGCTCATGGGCTCCATCCTACATCATGAGGTGCCTATAAATAGCACCCACCCATAGCTTTACAAGGGATGGATTTTGGAGATTTTTAACTCTTGGGAAAGAACTAATTTCCCTTCTCCATTATCAACCTTGAGAGTGAAAGTGGGAGATCCATGGGAGAGCCTTGCCATTATTCTATTCTCTAGCCATTTTGCCTTCTTCTTCACCCAATCTCTTATCTCCATCATCTTCTTTGTTTTTGTGTTCTTGAGTTAAGACCATTGAAGAATCTAAGCCTCTCATCATCTTCTAGAGAATTCGAAGTTGTTCTTCAAGGATCTTCGAAGATCTTCGAATTTTCTAACTCTTTTCCTTGAACCCTCACCTACATTAAGCAACCATGTGCCAATGTAGATTCATTTTTCAATTCAGAACTAGACAATAGTCTAATCAGATTGAAAAAGCAAGCATTTTAGTAGAAAGAAAGAAAGGAAGAAAGGAATAAAAGAAAGAGAGATAGACAGTGAGTTTAGGAGAGGCAAAGGGATCATCATCAAGAGGGTTTTGTCTGCGTGAGAAAGACCCGCATGTTTGTACAATTTTTCTTGCTGATCTTTTCAGTTTCGACGAAGCTCCTCCTCCCCCTAGATATTAGGGGAAGAGAGGCAGAGAGAGAGAGATAGAGAGAAGGTAAAATAAATAGGACATACTTGGGGGTAATGCTTCAATAGTGGATCGACGGTGGTGCTCGATAGCGGTGATGCTCCTTACCCGACGATAATGGAAACAAAGCGACAAAGATTCAATATCAGAAGGAGGGCAATCGGCATGAGAGAGAGAGAGAGAGAGAGAGAGAGAGTGCGTGTGTGTGTGTGTGTCACAGAGTGAGAGAAACAGATGTTTTTAAGCCCTAACTCATTTAGTGTGTTTGAAATCCCTCCAAAATGATAATAATAATAATAATAATAATACTTAAAATTAAACATAAACTCAAATTGGGCGGTATAAGTGTTCCCAAATTAAAAAATTGAGTTTTATTGCTGACTAAATGTGTTTTTGTCACTAAAAATGTATATTTGCTGACCAAATTAGGTAGTCACCAAAGATTAAAAATAAAATTATACTAGATATTTGGCGACTAAATTTCTTTTGGCCGGCAAAAGTTGGACATTTACCTTCATGAAATCCATACACGGGCACAGGATTTCAAAATAGCTTTATATGCTTTCACGCCAATTTTGGTTCCCAAATACACGGGCACAGGTTTTAATTTTGGTTCTCAAATAAGATGGGCTTGCTCACCTAAACAATATTTGTACTAGATTCGAATTTGTTGAACACCCTTGTACTCGGTCTTCGTCTTTGGGGCTGCCACTGTTGATGACGATTGGGATGGTGGAGAGAGGGATGGAGGAAGAGAGAAGATGAAGAGAGTAATAGAGGGTTTGGGGTTCGGTCGCCAGCAATGGTTGGGCTTCAACAGGGAAGCATGGGAATGGGCTTCGATGGAGGTAGAGAGAGGGAGAGTGGGTGTGTTCAAAATTTAAAAGATGAGTGTGTTCAAAATTTAAAAGATTAGTGTGTTCAAAATTTGAGAGTGTGTGTTTGTCAGAGAGATAGAGATAGAGAGAGAGAAACAGAGAGATGGGGTATATGAACCGATGTTTAGACCAAATAGAGAGTGAGACATTGTGAGCCCTTTAATTGAATTCAATCTAATGGTGTATGTTTTGACAAAGGGACAAAAGTTCCATTAGGTGTAAAAAAAGTAGAGTTGTTTTGTTATATAGATGTGCAAAATACATATTGGTCATTTTACACCATTCCCGACTAAATATTTATAAATCTTTTCAAAATTTGAAAAGTTTCCCTCCAAATATTTTAATTATTTGGCGACTAAACATTTTTTTAGTAACTGAAAATAAATTTTTGACAACCAAACTTTTGGTCGCCAAAGATAAATTTTTTGTTTTTCATTCGACGACTAAATAATTTAAGTAGCCAATACCAACTACACAGTGACTAAAATATTTTAGAAGCCAAAATTAACTATACAGCGACAAAAATATTTTTTAGTCGATGGAAATAAATTTTGGCGACCAAACTTTTGGTCGCTAAAGATTAAAAGTAATTTTTTTTTTCTATTCTACAAGTAAATAATTTTAGCAGCCAAAACTAACTATACAGCGACAAAAATATTTTTTAGTCGTTGAAAATACATTTTTGGCAACCAAACTTTTGGTCGCCAAAGATAAAAAGTAATTTTTTGTTTTTCATTCGGTGACTAAATAATTTAGTAACCAAAACTTACTATACAGCGACTAAAATATGTTTTAACTGCTGAAAATAAATTTTTGGCGACCAAAAGATATAAAATATTTTTTATTTTTAATTCAGCGACTAAATAATTTTAGTAGCCAAAACTAACTATACAGTGACTAAAATATTTTTTAGTCGCTAAAAATAAATTTTTGATGACCAAACTTTTGGTTGCTAAAGATATAAAATATTTTTTTTATTTTTCATTCGGCGACTAAATAATTTTAGTAGCCAAAACTAACTATACAGCGACTAAAATAAATTTTTAGTCGCTGAAAATAAATTTTTAGCGACCAAACTTTTGGTCGCCAAAGATAAAAAATAATTTTTTGCCTCCTGCCTATATTTTTACCCACTAATATTTTAAATTGGTCGCAAAAAATCACTTTTTTGCAACAAAATTACTTTAGTCGGTAATAGTAGTAATTTTTACCTACGATTTTTTTTTTTGGTTAGCAAATGTCATTTTTTTGTGACCAAAATTTTTTAGTCGGCAGATGTGTAATTTCTTGTAATGCTTGCTTGAGTTCTTGGAATTCAAACACTTTTTGGTCTCGAAAACACTGAGGGAAGTACTTGTCATAAAAGATTTCATTGAATCGAGCCCATGTCATGTTTCCATTGGTATTCCAAATCAGTAACCACCATCTCCGAGCTTCATCTTTGAGAGTATAGGTGGCCAATAAAACCTTCTAAGTCTCAGTACTGGGAAAAACTTCAAACAACTTCTCTATTTCAAGTAACCATGTCTCCACTTTCAACGGTTCAATACCACCCAAGAAAGCCAGCGGTTTCATCTTCATGAATTTCTGAGTTAGGTTGATGATGTCATTATTTCCAGGTTCAACTTGTATCGGCAGAGGCGAAGGGGAAAAAAGTTGTTGCCTCTGTTGTTGTGTCATTGCTTTGGTCAATGTTGTAAGTATCTGTTCCATTCAGCTCATGCGAGCCTCTGAGGATTCACTTGTATCATTACTTCTTGCGTTCTCCATGATGCTATAGGGAACAAGGTAATAATAAATAGAGGAATAATCTTGCTCAGTTCTTTCAATTTCATATGTTCAGGTTAAGATTCAATTTTCATAGTTATAGAAATTTCTTCACGCACCCACACATGCAGATGATATGTCTCTACTTCTTTCTAGGACATCTTATAGCTCATACGGACTTGTGTGTGCAGTATAACTCATGCTCTAATACCACTCTATCATGACCCAAATCTGCTCGTATAAGTTTAAGTAGCTCGGCTTTTTCGCGCCTCCTTTCAGAAACTCGAAAAGAAGCCCTATAGTTCGGACTCCTGCGGTTCTGAATCTAGTCTCACAAGTGCAATCTGAAACTGATAAACACCAAAGAGTGCAAGTCCGGCAAATCATTTTGAAAAATTGATTTTGAATAAAAAATGTCAAAATTGGATTGTTTTGCCAGATACAGAGTCACCACCTAAATGTTTTATTTTTGGGGAAATTTAGGAAACCCATGACTCGTGCCAAAGGCCACATGTCCGTCATGATCAAATTTGTCTCAGCTCGGGAACTTAAGTACAAGAGAAGAAGGTCATGAATTGAGCACCTCTGCTTGCCCGATCAAAGATCGGCCTTTACTAATAATGATATGATTTTTTATAAACATTATGTGCTCTTGTTCCGGTTATTAAACTAGCTTTACTATGTGATGCTCACAAGCAAGTATAGACTAGTTTGCTTAAGTTAGAACAATTCAATTTCATGTTTGTTTGTAAAAATGGTTTGAATTTGCCACCTCAAGTGGGTTTAAAGTTTGCGGATTTGCCACCAAATATAATGGGCTTAAAACTGATTTGCCACTCAACAAAGTGGGCTTAAAACATACATTCGTTGAATCGTTCCAATTCAAGTAACAAGCCTTCACCCACAGGCATTCAAACAATTTATCAAGTAAGCATTTAGCCTCATGGCAAGCATGCTAGACATGGCAACATTCACATTCATGCAAGTATGATAAAGCATTTAAAAAAACTCACCTAGTACTCCAAGCCAAAAGAAGACAAAGTTAGAAAAAATGCATGATTCCTAACTATACAAAGTGTCTAATGCAATACATATGAAGAATCCAATTAATAGGCTCGGCTACTAATATGGCATATGATTCAATTTGATAACATGCGATTAAACACGTATTCAAAGAATTATTGAAATAACAATGCAGTTGGAATGATGCGCCGAGCCTCGGTGCATCCAAGACAAGCTGAATGTATGCAAGCATAAGGTATGCTAATTGAAACATGACCCTAGTCTAACCATCAAAAGCGATTAAATAAAATGGAGAAAGATGTGAGGTTAGAAGGCATACACATTATTACATTACGCTCTCACGAAGGAGAGTCCGAATGAATAAACTAAGCTAAGCTAATTAAGCTAATTAAACTACTTATTTACAAACCAAATAAAAAAGCTAAACTAATTAACTAAGTATTACAACACTTGAATGAATCAACTAGTAAGCTAACTAATTAATTTACCACCTCCTGCCATAAAATGGCTTAAAACCACAAATTTCAGCCCATTTTGACAGAGTTTTTATAGCCCAAAAATAACCCCAAAACAGTAAAAAAATATAGGAAAATAAGTATGCAAAATAAGCTAACAAAATAAATATTATATCTCTTGAAGAGAAGAGTGATTCTAGGCAACAATCCAAGCCAAAACTGACTTGTAGAGCTCCAAGAGGGCCTCAAAGAACCTCAGCTCAAAGGTGATCGAGTTTGGTTGAGGAAGTTAAGGCAAGAGTGTAGTGTAAGTAAGCAAAATTGTAGAGAAATGCAAGAGAGAGAAAGAGAGAAAATTTTGAGTTTGAAATCTTCTAACTTCAAAACATGAGAGAGGGACTCCCAATATATAGAAAACATGAATTCTATACAAGAAGATCCAGCTCTCCACGTGTGGATAGATGCATGTATCTGTGCAACCGGCTAGTACAAAATTCTGCAAAAAACACTGGTGGCCGACCGACCATTAGTGATAACCGACAACGCATCATTGATGGCCAAAAAGGCATATAATGGCCGGCAGACCAGAAGCTCTGGCTGGCAGCCTTCACAGATGGTCGGCTGGCCACCAAAGACTGCAAGACGGAAAGGCCAAGACATGGTCCAAAAAGGAGACAAAATAGATGCAAGGTTTGAAATGCTCAAACCTGTGGCGCTCCACTAAGGATTTCAAGCACTCAGCGAGCAATCATACTCGTCATCGAATGTACCTGCACGAATATTTAGGTCTTGAAGGGCCGTCAAAAATGAGGTGTCTATAGTTTAACGTCGTAACCGGCCAGTAATCATTAGATTACCAAAGGCCTCTTAATAGTATAACATATAATTAGGGGTTGAGAAAGCAATAAATAAACATACATAGTCCATTGAGCAGTGCTGACATATATGAGACAAAATTTTCAAAAAATAACTTATATATATTTACATGTGATGTCATAAATACAATAGTCTTATGTCACCCATTTACACAGATAAAGTCAAAAAGGAACTTAGCCCAAGTACAGATAAACAGAACAAAACCAAATGAAGCCTTGACATGGGCCTCTCAAAAGGAACCTCATCGGGAGGCACGTTGGTTGGCTGACAAAAGAGAATCTTAGGGCGTCAACTCTGGGCCTGGTCACGTGCCTGATTACCTACATATAGATAATATAATAGTGAGCGAGAGCCTAGTAAATAATAACGGAGTAAAGGGTTTAATGAATGATGTCCATACCAAATTTAGAAAACAGATTCATATTTATTTCAGAAACAGAAACAGATCCATATTCATAATCTTGTTCAAATCATATACAGAAATTAGAGTTCATGCTTAATCATACGTGGTGCATCTATTAGCACTAACAAAACAGACACAGAACAGATGCAGAACATATGGTGGTTATGAGTAATCAATTCCATAAATGAACCTCCGGATCCGGGTAAGAGATGATAGACATAATCAGTCCAATAATGGAACCTCCGATACTGAGTAACGGCTAACAGATATCACATGATGCTAAGGATGCCAAGAATACATTGTCAGAAATTGGGCAATCGTTCATTGTACAAAATATAGCATTTCAGAAAACAGATCTTATTTTATCATACAGAAAGTAAATAAAGTTGAACATATCTTTACTAAGTCATTACTTACAGAGGACTCCAAAAGCAAACAGTTGGTACAAGCAAATCAGATAGCTTACGGTGTGTGACCTACAACAACACATAACATGTACACATTGTAACACACACTCGGAATTCTTACAATAATTGTGTTTCGTTCTTAGTGTGAAGTCTTATCCTCGTTATTATGTCTTAATCATGGCCTAGGAATGCCTAGGATGCGATGAGGATGCCAAAATGCACTTTGAAACACTTGGTCAATTAAGCTGGAAAACAGGGGCCTCGCTCGAGCGCAAATTTCTTTGCTCGAGCAGAGGGTCAAAATATGAGGGGCCACTCGAGCACAACTTCCTTCGCTAAATATGAGGGGCCACTCGAGCACAACTTCCTTCGCTCGAGCGGTTTGTAAACTCTGAAAAAGTACTAGTTGTGTGAATTCTCCGCTCAACGCTCGCTCGACCGTTGCTCGAGCGTAATAATAGGGTCCTCGCTCGAGCGCAACTCATTTCGCTCGAGCGGTCTGCAAATCATATGAACTTCTGGGGACTTGCATTTCATGCTCAAGCCAACTTTTAGTCACTCGAGCAGAAGTGCGAAAGCAAAGGTGGTCGCTAGAGCACAAAATCTATCGCTTGAGCGGAAAGGCAGAATCTGGAATTTCTAGATTGCATTCCCAAGCTTCAAACTTTCCCAAAGCTGTAAATTATGGTCTTGAAGGCCAGAAACTTGGGAAAACACATCTAAACTCAAAAAACATGAAAATTCAAGATCATTTCATGAAATCCAGGCCCAAAATTATGTCAATTGTTCAAAATCCACCTAGAGACTTTAAGAACCTGACATGAATACTACATACATTAAATGGTTTGAGCTTTAAGTGTGCAAAACATAATCAAATGAGGTGTTTAGCTCAAAAACATGTTGAATTCTTAAACCATAGCTAAAATATGAACATGCATGGGACAAATTCTTAGACAACATATTCTATTTGTCATGTGATGCACATGCATGCATGCATCTTCTTCTTTCTACATCAATCAACTTAATTTTTGCTTCAGTTCACTTAGTTCTTTTGAATACATGTGGTAAGTACTCTAATTACACAACTAAAGGATTGATTTCTTACCTTAGGGGCCCAATTTTAGTTTAGATGTGTTGATGTTTGAGCTCACAAGTCAATTCTTTTAATTCCTTTTCAAGTCTCTCTAGTTCTCAAGCTTAGCGTCAAATCTTCCTACTCCCTCTCTTACTCTCACGTTTTGCCACCAAGGATGAAGATATGAGAGTGTAAAATGTGAATGAGGGTCCACTAATGCCTTATATAGGCTAAATTAATGGTTTGATTAAATGGTTGATCAAATTACTCAATTAGACATAAATTATTCTAATTAAATCGTTTTGAATCGACTTTCAATTAAACCTACTATAAAATTCTAAAAACTCTAACTAACACATAATTCAAGGCAATTTCGCGATCGGATGCCAATGAGGCCTTCAATTCACAGAACATAACAAAACTACAAACATATATTTCTACAATGGACAGATAGAAACACAAATAATGTCATACACACATGCAAATAAATTCAGAATTTTATCTTAATTCTTCTTAGGCATATTTAATCATGGATTAAAGGCTAATCATAGGTCGGGGTTATTACAAATAGCCTCTCAACAGCTTGTCAACCCAGTAAACAACAGCAGTATGTTTGCTTGATCTAAATCAATATGGAAACGACTAAAAACAGCAGCAGCAAAATATTATTTATTAATAGCAGAGTAGCAACAGAGCTCATCAACAGAGCAGCAGCAGAGCTCATCACTTTCAAAGACACATCCTAATATGTTTCAAGTTGGAAACAAAATCATGGATGGAATATGAATAACCAAAAGTGTGGCTCTTCAACCAAACTGCGATTCTAACCTTGATTAGCTCAATAATTTCCGAAAGATTGGGCCGGGCACTATTGAACACACAATCATTCCTGAGTCTCCAAATTAACCAAACAATAGCAGGTGTGATGGCTTTCCAAATCTATAATTCTTTCTTCTTAGCTTTTTGCCCAGCCACCAATCAAACAAATCCACAACAGAGCTTGGGCAAACTCAAAATAGACCCCACTAATCAATGATATCAGACCAAACTTTCCAGCTGAAGGGACAAAGAAGCAAAACATGATTAATGGACTCAAGTTCAGCTTTGCAAAAGATACACTGAGTGACATCCTCCCCTCTAAGAACACCAATATGATGAAGGAAAACAGATGTTTTTACTCTACCTTTCCAAACCAGCCATGAGAAGAATTGGACTTTTGGTGGTGAGATGTTATTCCAAATAAATCTGGGCATAGATAGATTCGGTCCTCTATTGGATTGCCACCAGCAGAATAAATCCTTTGTTTTGAAGACACCTTGAGATGAAGCTTTCCATCTCATGCTATTTTCCATCCCATGCCTTAAAGGTGGGCCATCACCCAGTACAACTTGCAGATTATGGGTTGCATCATCCTCCCAAGCTAGTAGGGGTCTCCTAAAACTGAGATTCCAGTTGGATGAGCTAATTTTCCTAGCAATAAAGTCTTTCAAAGATCCATCCTTGTCAGAAGAAAGGCTAAATAATCTAGGAAATTTAAACTGAAGGCAGTCAGTCCCCATCCAAATGTCCTTCCAGAAAGATATGCTGGCCCCATTACCAATAACTAATTCTGAGTTAGTTAGGAAGAAGTTCAATAAAGTAGGATTTTCTGATGCAAGCCCTATAATGTCCTTCCAAATCCATGTACAATTAGAAATAGAGCCTTGAGAATGGAACTAGCTACCTGATCTGGGGCTATACTTGCTACAAATTAATCTTCTCCATAGGGCTTGCTTTTCATTACAGAACCTCCACCACCATTTAGCTATTAAGCAAACATTAGCTTGACTCAAACTTCTTACACCTAAACCTCCTTGCTTCTTTGACATTAAAACATCCTTCCAACTAATCAGGTGTATCTTTCTTTTTACATCAGAGTCACCCCACAAGAAAGAAGCTTGAATTTTATCCACCTCTTTGATTACACACTTTAGCATTTTAAACAAGGAAATGTAGAAAATTGGAAGGCTAGATAGAGTGGATTTGATGAGGGTGAGTCTACCAACAAATGATAAAAGTCTCTTCTTCCAACCTGAGAGTTTGCCTTTGGATTTGTCCAAAACTGGTTTCCAAGTGGTTTTTCTTCTGGGGTTAGCATCAAGTGGAAGCCCAAGATACTTTAAAGGTAGTTTCTGATTGAGGCAGTTCAATGTTGGCAAAAAACGATTAATTAAAATCTCGAAACACCAATAATACAAATTGTACTCTTGTGAAAAATTATTTTTAGGCCTAACATGATTTCGAAACACCTAAGTATTCTCTTCAAGGTTGTAATCTCCATTAAATTAGCCTCACAAAAGAGGATGGTGACGTCATTCCTCTAATTTTCTTTATTCTCTCAAAGACTCTTAATTATCTACAGAAAAATGTTTGGGAGCACTAATTAGTGCTCCCACTAATTAGGTAGCAGTGAGTCCCGCCATTAATGATGTGATGTTTTGGTCTTGGAGTTGTATTTTTTTTTTTTTTTTTTTACTTTTTTAATGTATTAGTGCTATTAGTGGTGATGTTTTTAGTGGGCTGAATCATTGTTGTTATCTACAACCGGTCATCAAGCGAGGTCAGTGTGTAATTTACCCTATAAAATACATAAAAGACATGGTGATGTTAGAAGATAGATAAGGAGAAGAAAAGGGACTATCCTTAACCACTAATTATTTCATGATTTTGGATCATCATATTATTATTTTTTATTTTTGTCTACCAGTAAGAGATTAATTAAAAATATAACAAAAATTGCATCAAACTTGACAGTTAAAAAAGAAATAAACAATCACATCCAAGCATCACAATGGAAGAAATAATCAATCATAGATAACGACAAAGTTCGATTCTTGACCTTCTAGGTAGAAGTATACAGGAGTAGCCTACTATGATAAAACAAAATGAGAGTTAAGATTCATATTTTTACCATTTTAAAGGTGGTCTCCAGAGGTTTTCGATCCCACTTTTTAGAAGTAGTCAATCATAAATGGTCAGGATAAAAAATAATTAGAACTACCGAAAGAGATTTCCCTAATTTTTTTATTAATGTGCGTACATTATTCATTCAAGTTGGCCGTAATGCTCTTTTCCTCTCTATAGTAATATGAATTTGCTTTTCGTTATGTGCAGTGTGCTAGATACTAATTTGGCAAACCAATTTCTACCTAGAGAGACCAAGAGAATGTAGAGTCATGACAAAGTTGGACATTAAAGCTGGTGAAAGGTCATCTTTCTTGATGTCTATGTGATGCATATATATATATATATATATATATGAAAAATGATTTGGACCTCTAAAAAAATAACTCTAATGCACCTCTAATTTGTCTTTTTCTTCTCCTGTTTTTGTCTTTTACTTCACTGTTTTTTTTTTTTTTAATTCCCGAATAGCTCATTAAAGCTGTACGGAATGACCTCTTATTAGAGGTATGTAGCAAGATTGATTCTAAGAGAAAAACTTCAGTTGGGGAAAGTTGACTGACAGACTGACACTTGTCATTGCCAACTAACCACCAAAGCCTAATTCTCCCAAAAATTCATAAAACATTAAGGTTGCATTTAGTAGAGTTTTATAAATGTGATTTGAGAGTATGAGTTATATTTTGAATTTTTGAATTGTGAAATTATGATTTGAGTGTAGAAAATTTATTTTGTTATAGTTTTTGAATAAAGTGTTAAATTAAATTTTGAATTAAGTGTGAAATTGAGTTTTAACATAAAAGACATGGTGATGTTAGAAGATAGATAAGGAGAAGAAAAGGGACTATCCTTAACCACTAATTATTTCATGATTTTGGATCATCATATTATTATTTTTTATTTTTGTCAACCAGTAAAAAATTAATTAAAAATATAACAAAAATTGCATCAAACTTGACAGTTAAAAAAGAAATAAACAATCACATCCAAGCATCACAATGGAAGAAATAATCAATCATAGATAACGACAAAGTTCGATTCTTGACCTTCTAGGTAGAAGTATACAGGAGTAGCCTACTATGATAAAACAAAATGAGAGTTAAGATTCATATTTTTACCATTTTAAAGGTGGTCTCCAGAGGTTTTCGATCCCACTTTTTAGAAGTAGTCAATCATAAATGGTCAGGATAAAAAATAATTAGAACTACCGAAAGAGATTTCCCTAATTTTTTTATTAATGTGCGTACATTATTCATTCAAGTTGGCCGTAATGCTCTTTTCCTCTCTATAGTAATATGAATTTGCTTTTCGTTATGTGCAGTGTGCTAGATACTAATTTGGCAAACCAATTTCTACCTAGAGAGACCAAGAGAATGTAGAGTCATGACAAAGTTGGACATTAAAGCTGGTGAAAGGTCATCTTTCTTGATGTCTATGTGATGCATATATATATATATATATAGATACAAATATATATAGGTACGAAACTTATGGCCTACTTGTATTCATATTGCCCAAGCTTTACTCCATACCCTTTGTAGGTGACATATACATACTCTCATCAAGGACTTAGTTCTAATAACATGTTTTTTGAAACTACCATCATACCTTATTTCACAGAACACTACATAAATAGCACATAGAAATAAGTATATGGTTGGTTTCATTACGGTGCTTCTCACTTGTCAGTCATGTTTCATGACATTTACAGTTTTACAGTTATAATTAATTAACCATTAAATTTTAAAGGGTTGCTAGCATATGATGGTTCATTAGAGGCATTGAATAATGTTCCATACCAAACAAAGTATATGATTATACACTTCTTTGTGATAACAATCATGATTTTTAATTCACCTGTCACATAATAGGAATGTAATGAATCATGACAAATTATCCCTAAATTTATCTTGAAATAAATTGTATGGTATAAATTTAAAATTAGTGTGATTTGTACCCTATCTAGAATCATTGTAATTCATAGAAGTGTTTTCTGAATACTTTTAAATTATTTACTTTGGAATTATAGTATATAACTCGTCACATGATGTAAAAAACTAACCGTATATTTGTACAGGCAGAGAGATGTCTACTCCCAACTGGAAGGTGTTGTTGGGACTCCGTGGACCTACCATGGAGCTCGCATCGATAATCTAAACCGTTTCATATGTAGAGCTCGCCGAATACTTTATTCCTGCAAAAAATAATATTAATCGAATATCAATAGACACTTGATTAGATCATATTTATGTTAACAATTTATTTTAAAAATCATACTTGCATTTGATACAAATGTAAATTTGATCAAGTGTCTATCGATATTCGATTAACATGATTTTTTACATGGATAAAGTACATGACGAGCTTTATAAATTGAACAGTTCTGATTATTAATGCAGGCTCCGTGATGGGCCAACGAAGGCCCAACAACACCTTCCAATCTGATTTGAACTGGAAAGAAGCATATCCCATTTGTGTATTTTTACTGTTCTAATTTTAAATTTTTTGGATAGTTAAACCTTTTTTTTTTTTTTTTTAACTTGAAAATCCTCACATCTAACGAGATGACTAAAGTGTCTTATTGTTTGTTTTGAATGAGAGACTAATCTAGCAACTTGCATTGATCCCTCAACACAAGCCTTATTTAAGCCAAGACTCACACAGTAAAAGAGAGTCGAACCCACATGAATTTACTACGTAACAATACCTTGAGGCTCTCCCAAGCCAACTGCGCTACCCCAGGGTAATTAACCCTTTCACCACTTTACCTTGAGGCTCTCCCCAAGCCAGCTGCGCTACCCCAGGGTAATTAACCCTTTCACCACTTGCTTAGACCAATAAGAACAAATCAAGGAATCAACCACTTCATAAAAAGTATGAATCACTTTTGGTACACAGAAAGTCTTCTTCTTGACATGAAGCTGCACTAGTACTACTATAGTGCAAAGAAGGTCGCAATACAATTTACCAGTCACAATTTTTTTTTTTCTTTTTTTTCTAACACTCTTATATATATCATTGTATACATTTTATTGCTTTTTTTTTTCTTCACTTTTTATATGAATTCATATAACATGCATCAAGTGCATATATGTATAATTTATCATATTTAAAATATAATTATAAATTTTATTAATATAATACATTAATTTTATTATATAGATTCAGACACAAAAAATATATATAAATAAAATCAGTAAAATTGATTCTTTTTTATGGAAAATTCATTTGTTGATAAATAAATGGAGTGTATATATATGTATATCATATATAAGTAAAGTAGTGCCTTTTATTGGCATGCTCTAAAACAGCAGTGATTGGAACCTCTAAATTTGCACCACTGAACCAGTTCTAATGAGCTGAAAAATCCAAAAAAAAAAAAGAACACGAGCAAAACATCCCATCATAGAGCTATTAGTGCTCTTGGATTAGAGGTATGAGACATTTTTGTGCTCTAAAATTATGTCATGTGTCAGACTCATTTGTTGCCGTGTGTCATTTTGTTATTTATTTATTTATTTTATCTATTATCTCTCTCTTTGTTGTCTTTTTATTTTTTGTTTTTCTCCATATTTTCATTTAATGAAAGTGGGAAAAATGAATCGGTGGTACATCA